AGTCACAGATGTGAACGTTTATGCGTTTATGGTAGAAACAAAGTACACACACCTGCAGCTGTCACTTGCACTTTGTCCAGGGTCGCAGATAATTATGCCAGGCAGTTTATTCCAAGCGAATGGAAGCGTCCGACAGGTCATACATATCCTGAGATCAGCCTTTGGTAATTTGTAGTGATGCAGCGAGCTAAAATCAGTGAGTCAGTCGAAGCGATTGGCTTATTACATTTTTAGTTTCTGACATTTATCAAAAAAGTTAAACGAAATAATCTGGTAAAAAGTTGTGGGAGTAGTTGAGATAAAAGTTGAATTATAGATATTATTTTTATATTTTTCTTGGGGTATTTTATTTTTTCTCCACAAGATGATTTTAGTGCTAAATCTTTATGGTTTTCCACAGTTCTCGAGTATTCGCCTAGCTGGCTTCTATTTGTTTTCGACATATTAACATTCTGGATCGAAACTGCCGAGGGACTTTGACTTTTGGCACTTCTTTGGCGCAGGTTCTATGCATTTTTCCCTTCATTTCCCCCCCAATTTGGTACTGGGTGTCAGGTCTAGGCTAGAAAACAGCTCTTGAGGCAGAGGCAGGTGCATACTGATGATGCAGATGATGATGATGGTGATGGTGATGGTGATGGAGATGACGGAGGGTGCCAGCAAGTCTGTAATTGAAATGCAGAAAATGGAGAGCAGCCTCGACCCGGCTAAGGTGAGTGCCACGCCCCCTTTGCTGGGGATAAATAATGCAGCAGCCCCAAGGATGAAGGATGAGGATGGGGGACTTTTTGGGGGGCAGGAACAGGGGCAGGAAGTGGATGCTTTCTTCATCTGTCTCGGCCTGAGCCGCTGTTGACACATAGTTTGTAGTTGGTAAACAGGCAACACACAACTGCTCAACGAGCACCTGAAGATGCTTTGTATAAATTTGAATATTTAACTGCAGCTGCGGATGAAAATGGGAAGATGGGGAGATGGGGGTGGAGATGCAGATGCAGATGCACCGGCTCTTCTCTGCCAGTAGCAGTTACAGGGCCACAGTCTACAGTCCACAATCCAGAAACGAACCCAGAAGTAGCAACATTTCACTCAAATCTAGTGCAGCTGGCTCCGGCATCGTGGGCCTGGCCAAATCTTTTGCCAAATGCCGGTCCCCTCCCTCGCCCAAAACTCATTTGGCATGCATGTGTGTCAACGCTCTGGCCAAGACAGCAGCAACAGCAACATCTACGGCAGCAACGTCAACATCTACGGCAGCAACACCAACGGAGATGATTATTATGTATGCATTTCGGGGGCTTAACTTCCTTGGGTGGCAAATGGTTCGACTGTCGTTCACCCACTGCCTCGGCAATCACGTTTCCAGGGTATTTAAACAGCGTCATTTACGACCATATATATAAATGTATACCATGGAGCACTTGGGCGGATTGCCATCTATCCAGCTGCAGGATCAATTGGTGCGTACATTTTGAGTTCTAAATCTTCGATTTATTAGAATATATTTCTTGGATTGTCTAAGTCTATAATAATATTTATCATTTCATAGCTTTATTAATCGAAATTTTCATAAAAAATTATCATTTATTTAACATAGAATAAAAACACGTCTCAACGAGGTAAAAAGCTAGTGACGAAATGATTTCTGTTTAAACTGAGATTCCTTAACTTTTGACGTAATACAATTTTACCAGCTCAGAACTTTTAGCGTTACACTTTTACCAGCCTTTTTCCCAAACCTTTCTAAATCTTTCAAGTCTGCATACCAAGACTCCTTTTACGATCCCTTTCGGTGGGTGTATCACTCGTTATAATCGGGTCAACACTGAAAGTAGTCGCCTTCGTCATTACGTGGATTGCCGGCCCAATGATTTCTGAGTACTTACTTATTTTGAAACAACTATCCGCTAGATCCGCTCCTAAAAGGAAAATCGATTAAAAACACAGGGTTATGGCTTCACATTTAGTTTTCATATTCATTTATTTATTTTTAATTAATTCATTAGTTTTTATTTATTCTTAGACCCTTGATATCCTCAGAAGTTGTGTTGTGTGTGGTTTTCTTTTTTGTTTTGGTTTATTTTTATCGCTTGTCGCATTCTTTTTTTTTGTTTTCGCTTTTTGTTTTTGTTTTTTTTTATTTATATATTTTCATATATAATATAGTTCAACTTAATACGCTTAAAATATTCTCGTTTCGCGTTGAAATCATTACATATATGGTATATCATTATCATTATTGCAATAATTATCGTAATTATTTTTACTTTTATTTTATGTCATTTTATTTTACTGTTCTGCTGTGGTAATATAATGCCATATATAATTGTTCATTTACCGATAGATATATGCGTATGCCTAGGGGGATCTAGGTGATGAATGGGGGGTGTGGGGAAGGGGGTTATCGTTTATCGTTTGCATTGACAGTGGCGGGGGGAGGAAGGTTGTAAGGGGGGTTCTGCGCTCCCCGCCGTCCCTCGAATTCTCCACTAAGCTTACACAGACAAAAAAAAGTTGGGGAGTTATTTCATATTTCTTTTTTCATTTTCGATTTTTGTTTAGTTTAGTTGAATTTGCCCTACAATATTCCTTAGGTTTGCTTGGTTTGCCTCGGTTTATTTACTATTTGTGAATTACATAGTTCGATATACTACAGATTCCGCTTCTCTGCCTCTGCTATTTTGTCTAATAAATATAATTTGTTCTCCTTATTTTGTTTTTTGTTTGTTGTTCTCCTCTGCGCTTTGTTTGTTTATTTGTTTATAATAAGTATTTCAACTTTTCTTGTTGCGTCGCTTTTTGCTGCCTTTCGGTTGGTTTGTTTATATTATTTTGTTTTTTGTTTATTTGTTTATTATATCTCATAAATTCTTGTTGTTGCTAAATTTTGTTGTTTTTGTTTGCTTTGCTGTCGAGTGTATATGTATCTGTATCTGTATTTTTGTAGGTGTGTTGGTGTGTATCTGTGTCTGCTTCCGTATCTGTGTGAGTTCCCTTCCAGTTGTTGTTTAGCTTGTTTATTTTGTTTGTGATGTGCAAAACGTTTAAATGTTAATTTATCTCAATTGTTTCCCTGTTTCTTTATTTGCTAAGTATTTCTCCACCTTTTAGCGTTAGTTTAGGTTTAAGTTTAGGTTTAGTTGTAAGTTACTCCTTCGGTTTAAGTTGAAGTTCGTGTAGCTCTAACATAAATATCCTAAAATACTTGGGTTTTTCAGTTATGTACACATAAATATTTGTTGCTGCGTCTGCTGTTCTTGTTTTTACGTTTACGTTTACGTTTAAGTTTACTTTTTATTTTATTTCGGTTTCCGCCGTTCTCAAGCCATTTCATAGTTCGCTCTAATCCATAATATTAATTTTAGTGTGCCATTTGTTTATATTTTTTTGTTTGCTTTTGAAGCAATTTCATTTCGTTTTCTTTTTATTCATTTTGTTGCTTGTTCGCCTTTTATTTTTATTTTTTATGCTTGCCAAATTCTAATAGGTAACTGACTCCTGCTCTTTTTCGAATTGTTTTGGTTTGCCAATCAACGAAACGGAAATGGAAACGAATCGAAAACCAGATGGGAGAAATTCGAGCGGAAAGTACAGTGGTACCCCGCACACGTACATCTAACACATAGACTCCTATACATATTACATATATATTCTTGTATATATATATACTATATGCTATATATATTTGACATTTATCCGATAGTTTGTCTCGTTTATTTTACATCTAGTTAGGCGCGACAACGATGGAGAAAAAAAAGCAAAAAAAATTGCCTACACTTCTGCGTGTGGGCCTCTATTTTGTTTTGTTCGTTTATATAACTAGCGATTACGATGCACGGTGCCATATACGATATAACACTAGTTTACCTTGATTAGCCTTAATATATATACACAGATAATCCGGCAAATATCGGGAGACTCCGTATTTCCTCTTCTTATATTTTGATATAACGCTATCGCACGCACGCGGACTCTTTCTCTCCCTCTCTCTGTTGTACGGACACCACCTCTCAGTTGAGCGGACATTTGCCCGGACACTATTCTCTTTGCGGACATTCTCTCCCTTGAGCGGACACTCATACGGACACTCACTCTGCTCTAGGCTGCGTTCTACTTGGCTGGCTCGCTTCTAGCCCAACTGATCGATCGGTTTGGCCTCATTTTGTGGTCTGGTTTTCAAGTTGGTAATTTTTATAAAATTTCGTTTTCTTGCTCGTTCGCAACTAATTCAGCAATCTTTTGTTTTCCTTTTCTACGGGTTTTCATATTCTTCTTAGCAATTCTTCGCTTAAACTCTAGGAGGCAAGGAAACGATCAACACACACGCGATTATTCAACTATAGCTACACATATAGCTGTGGCAATAAATTCGATAAGCACCAATTCATGGAAAACAAGGGAAATTCGAGCTGCAAACTGTGTGGGTCTCTCAAGCGAAGCAAAATGGGCGAAAATCATCCGATTATTCTCTACTTTAATTGGCATCTAATATCTCTCTCTGGATCCCTCGCAATCTCAATCAAATTGGACGGAAAGCTCAACGATCTCGATCAGGGTTCCAAGCTGAAATCATATATCTATTTCGTGTTTGTGTTTTGTTTTTAATACTGTTTTTAAGCTTTATTTAGTTCGATTCGATAATGGTTGTGAGTTTATTTGGGCCGCATTGAGCTGAGTTCGAGAAAAGCAGACTTACAAATAATAACAAAACATTTCACATTTCACATTCCACACAATAATAGCATTAATATGTATAATTAAAATTAGTTCGATATCTTCGTTTTTCTCTTTTGTTTTTTTGTTTTTGTTCTTCTCCCTTTTTGGATTGTGGATGTGTTTGCCCTTGCCTCGGCCATTTGAACAATAATAATGAATAAATTAGTTAATTACGTAGGACAAAACTTAAACTTATCTATTCAGGACATTACGACTATAGGTTTCTCTCTATAAATATGTGTGTGTGTGTTTTCTATATTTAATGTATATCCATTTATATGTTATTTAAAAAAAAAACCATCTTGCCTAGCAGCTAAATTTTGTTGTTCGATCTCTATAAATACGTTTGTTTTTCATTTTTTTTATTTGTTTTTCTTTTCCTTTGAATTTTCCAAGCTGACACTGTGCAAAGCAAATGAGAGAAAGCTTTCGCTAAGCAAAAATCTCCCACAACCCCAAAACCGGTTGTCCAGTGTAGTGTAGTCCGTCGGTTCGTGTATGTGCATGTGTGTTTTGGTCTGGGCCGTCCCCCCTTCGTTTCCGTTTCCGCTTCCGGTTCTCCCACCCTTCTCCACCACGACTCTCTTCGCTCTCCTTGATGCCCCCTCTATGTACATTGGATGGTTGGAATCTGGAATCTGGAATTTATAGATTTATAGATCTATAGAATCTATAGATCCCTGGGATCAGCGCCTGAAGGTCCGTCGGTCGGTCGCCGTTGAATTTGTTTTGTTTAAAACTATGCCAGTCTCAAAAAGCTCGAGTACCACGAAAAAAAAAACCAAGATGCCCCCTGGGGTGAGTTTCCCGCCTTTCGCCCCTTATTGTGGTGAGTATGCATGTACATATGTCTTGTATGTATGGTACGCTTTATGCTCGTATGACTACTACACTATGCTATCTTTCTTTTCTTTATATATATATATATCTGTATATCTATAACTGCGTCTATATCCGTGGCTGTACTGTATCTGTATCGTTATCTTTATCTTTATCTGTAGATGTAAATGTATCTGCGGCCTAGCTGACGTCACACACACACACATAGAAACGTACATGCAGCTACATGGGATTACGTTGGCATGTCGCTTTCTCCTCTTCCCTTAAGTTTCTTAAATTTCTTAAATTTCTTTTACTTTCATTACGTTTCTCTAATGGCTAACAATAAAAAAAAAATACTTTATGTATACGTGTATATATATATAATGTTCCTTGACATCAAAAAACTGGTTCGATAACATAGATCTATGTACTATATGTGTATTATTTATATATAAATAATCATGTTGCTCGGTTGCTCCTCCGCTGCTTGCGATTTCCGATTTCCGACGTCCGACTTCCGATTTAGTGGCTGGCTTCCTCCTCGACGCCTGCGAGCTAACAATCCTCCCCCTGCGCCTGGAGAGGATCGATGGGATCGATGGCGGATCGGCGGCGCCGTCGCCGCGAATTGGGTACCCCCGCCGCACCGCCGGTGGCGCCCTTCTTCTTCACGAACTTGATGTTGTACGGATCCTCCGCCAGCTCCGGATACAGGCTCACGTCGTGGATGTACTCACCCTCGTAGTTGTTGGCATAGCTCTGCTTGAGGATCTCCTCGGTCTCCTGCTGGCTCCACTCGAGGGCGGTGGTCAGGCCGCTCCGCAGAGCCTCCTTCTCCCTGTGCCACGCCTTCCGCACCGCCGTCAGCTTGGCGTGGTGCATCAGGCGCTGCTGCTCCTTGGCCACCGTGGTGCCGTAGCGCAGATTGATGATGGCATGGGCCCCGTGGATCTTCACGTCCAGATAGTTGCCGCCGTTGGAGGAGGAGGAGCTCGTTGAGGAGGAGGAACTGGCAGAGGACGACGCTGCTGGAGCTGCTCCAGCCGCAGCCTCCCTCGTTATCTCGTGGAAGGTCGTGTTCACCTGGCCCTGCAGCCGCTTCAGCTGCTGGCGATCCTCGGTGGCCCGCCAGGCGTCCTCCTTGACGAAGAAGAACGAGTCCTGCTGGGCGTTGTGCACCACGAAGGTGAAGGGCAGCAGCTTGGAGCGATTGAAGACGCTCGTGTAGACATCGCGGTAGATGGCATTGGCCGCCGGGACGCTGGACACGATGGCCTGGCCATCGGCCGTCCTGGAGACCACGATGCCCTTGCCGAACGGCGGCTCCGTGTCCGAGCCAATGGTCTTGGGCGAGGGGTCCATCACGTCGCACTTGAGCGCCGATCGCGGCGGCGCCGAGAGCTGCTCAAAGTCCGACATTCGGCGCACATTCAGGTGGGCCAGGAAGCCGCTCTCCACGGCCATCGTGGGTATGTTGTCGAAGGGTCGCCGCAGATTGAGGGCCACCGGATTGGCGGGCGGTCGGCCCCACAAGGCGGGCGGCTGCCAGAGATCGCGGGCCAACTGGGGCACCAGATTGCCCACGTTGTAGCCCAGGGTGCGCATCCAGGCGGCAAAGTCCTCGGGATAGTGGCGCTCGTGGCCCACGTTAATCGGATCGTTGCCGTTGAAGCGGTACAGGTGCAGTCGCGTGGGCGTGATGATCCGCTCGGCCACCCGCTGCCAGTCGGGCGACATCCACTGGCCAATCAGCGGGTCATACACCCGCCCATCGCCCATGTGCACCAGCGTGGTCACCTGGTCCAAGATGCCGCCGCAAAAGTCGATGGGCAGGTAGAGATACGGATTCGAGTCGTAGACAATGTGGCCGAAGGGCGAGCGCATGATCTCCCGGATGCCCTCGCCGTACTGGTTGAAGAGCATCAGCGGCGTGCCGCTCTGGTCGGTGGCCACGTAGTACTTGTGCCGGTACACCTGGGCGTAGATCAGATGCCCCACGTCGTCGTAGGTCAGCGACATCAGCTTGCCGTCCCGCGGCGAGTAGATCTGGCTCACCTCGTAGGGTCGCTGCTGGTTCGTGTAGAAGAACTGTGTCACGTTCCCGAAGTTATCCTTTCGCGTCGTCAGCCGCTTGAGGTGATCGTAGTAGTACCTCACGTCGAAGCGTCCCCGCTTGGAGGCCCGCACGAGGAGTCCCTGGGTGTTGTAGTGGAAGCGCTCCTCCCGCGCATTCTGGGCCACCAGTCCCCGCGCGTCGTACTTGTACTGCCCCTCGCCGAACTTGACGATCCTGTCCTGCGCGTTGTACTCCATGGGTATGGTGTTGCCCCGGTAGGTCAGCGACAGCAGGTTGCCATTGTCGTCGTACCGGAAGCCCCACGGCTCCTGGGCCTCCACGCCCACCAGCTGCCCATCGCAGTCCCACGTGTAGTTCTTCACGTTCGTGTAGCTGTTCACCGCCATATTCCGCGTGTAGGTGCGCGTCTGGGAGATCCTCCCATGGACGCCGTAGGAGAACTCCATGCGGAACACCTCCAGCCGGTGGATGGCCAGCGCCATGCGCTGCGTCTGGAAGCGCCCGTCCACGGTCCGCGTGAAGCTGGCGGTGCCGTCGTGCAGCTGCGTCTGGTTGAGCGCCGGCTGCGAGAACCGGAACTGGCCAATCAAACTGGGTCTCCCTGTCCTCTGATCGTAGGCAAAGGCCTGCGAGGGCAGGCTCTGCCCCCCAATCCTGCCCTGCAGCGCCACCACCCTCAACTGGGCGTCGTACTCGTAGCTGAACTTGGCGTTGCTCAGCCCCGTCTTGGCCACATAGTCGATCCGCTCCTCGGCCAGCAGCCCGGCGGCGTACTCAAAGTCCCAGCGGTACTCCAGCTCCCGCTCCGTGTGCGAAACCGTGCTCGGCATGCCGGTGGCCTCGTTGTACTGGAACTCGCTCCGCCCATCGCCATGCACCACCTCGGTCAGCTGGCCGGCGGCATTGTAGCGATAAACTATTCTAGCCCCGTCTCCTGGTAAAATGGTCTGCAGCAAAGCGCCCGCATGGCTGTAGTGCTGCAGGTAGGCCCTCGTGCTGCCTGGCGGCGTGTACGTGCACCGGATGAAGCCGATCGAGGTCTGCATGCTGAAGCTGTGCCGCGTGCCCGAGGGCAGGACCACGTGCCTCAGCCCGCCGGCGTCGTCGTACTGCAGCACGAACTTCCGCTGGCTGGCCAGCCCGATCTCGGAGACCAAATTCCAGTCGTTGTACACGAACGACACGATCCCGTCCTGCTGCGAGGTGATCTCCGAGAGCAAACCATGCCGGTCGTAGCTGTACTTGAGCTCCGCGGGTCCCCAGGCCCAGCCCTCCACGCGATTGAAGCGGTCGTAGGTGATGTTCACGGGATATCCATTGGTGGGGTAGTAGGACTTGGGCAAGCCAGACTGATCGTAGGCCACAATCAAGATAGGAGTGCGTCGGGCATCGTAGAAGGTCTCGCGGTTGGTGAACTGATCGAACTCCACGCCAATCACCCGCGACTGGTTCACCCAGATCTCGCGGTTGAGCGTCTGCTGCGGGTTCCTCACATCGCCTACCAGACTATAAACCGAGTACATCGAGTTGGTCAGGCCCTCGCCCATGGTGACGCTCTGGTGCGACCACATGGCCAGCATCTCGGCCTCCACGGGCAGGGCGGCCTCCAGGAGCGGGTGGCGGGCCACGGCGGAGGCCTCCACCACCACGCCGTTGTCGCCGTGGATCACCAGCGTGTTGTTCGCCTTCAGCTCCGCATCCGCATGCGCCTGTCCGCGCTTCAGGAAGGTGGATCGCACGCCGCCCAGGACGAGCAGCTCGTTGGCCTCGCCGGCCACTCGCTCCCGCGAGAAGAGCGACTCCACGGAGGCGTGGACGTAGACGGTGAGTCCCTGGCTGTCGGCCAGCTGGGAGGTGATCCTCACGATCTCGCCGCTCGGCAGGATCATGCCCGTGACCCTGCCGAACTCATCGTACTGGTAGATGTACGTCTCGCCGCCCGAGGAGCGCGAGTTGAGCAGACCCGTGTTGCTGTCGTAGTCCAGCTCGATCTCCTGGCGACCCTTCTCGCTCAGCTTCGTCATGATCCCGATGCCGTTGATCTGGATCTCCGACTTGTGGTCCTGCGTGTTCTCGATGGAGCTCACCACGTTGCTGTAGTCGCGCAGGAACTGGATCTTGTTGCCGGAGGCGTCCGTCACCGTGGACAGCCGGCCGAAGCTCGTGTTCTTCGAGTAGAGGAAGCTGTAGCGCGTCTTGCCGGAGGTCAGGTCCTTGGTGGCCACGTGCTGGCCGTACCGGTTGAACACGTAGATCTCGCTGGACGGCGGGAAGGGGATGTGGAACTCGCCGTTCTCGTCGTGCGACGGCAGGTAGTGTTCCAGGGCCAAGACGTGCAGGGATCCTGGAAGAGATGCGAAAAGGGGTTTAAGGGTTGGTTTGTTATAAGATTTTAAGAATTAAAATAATATTGTACTAAAATTATTAAATAAATATACTTTATGTTTTGGGATCCCCGCTTTATAAGAGAATGGAAAACAAGATTATGGTTTAGTTTTTAACTAGACGGGAAACTAACGACCACTTATGTTAAGCCAACATTAATTTAACTAATCCTTTAAGCAATCTCGATGTTGGGTATTCCGTATGTGCCAGTTGAATAACGAAGAGGTGTTAAGAAAGAAAATATAATTGGTGATGTATCAATTACCCTTTCACCATTTAAATCTGGGTCCCCAGGTTCATTACAGCTACATTACCGATTAAAATCTGCCATAAATACTTATCTATTGTTCTAAAATTATTATAATAAATATACAAGAAAATTTGATACCCAAAAGTTTGGGATCCTCGCCTTATAAGACCATGGAAAACAAGAATATGGTTTAGTTTTTAACTAGATGGGAAACTAAGGACATAAATGTTAGGTATTCTGTATGTACCAGTTGAATAAAGAAAATATAAATTATTATATATATATAATAAAATAATATAAGATATAAAATATAAAATATAATGGGTGACGTATTAATTTATTAATCTGGGTCCCCAAGTTCACTACATCTACATCACAGATTAAAATCTGCCATAAATACTTAAAAAAAAGAGGTTTTTTTTAATATTCTGCAACCATAAACTATATTTAACACCTTTGCTTTAAAAGTAACGCCCATAGCCCTTAATATCTCACGAATTAATTAGAGAGAACGAGTTGTCCGTTTGATAGTTTCAACGACCAAGTTAGTTTTTAATGTCCCCCGAGTGAAATGGAACTTTTTTACACCCTTATAGAGTACAGAAAACATACAATCGCGGCTTATCAACTTTATTTACTACCCAATGGCTGGCTGGAAAAACGGGAAAAGCTGCTTTTTTCGGCGAGCATCTGCTCGGCATTTGATTACCTTTTGCCCAACTTGGAGGGCTTAGGGGAAAAGAGGAGCTTGGGTCGTAAAAAGAAGTCGCACACTCGTTTTGTCCTTGCCAGATAATTGACTCATTTATTCATTCCCAGCTCCTTGGACAATTCCTTTTAACTGGTCATCAAATTTATTCGCACTTCCCAAACGCCCCTGCGACCATCCCCAGTTATCAGTCCTCAGAGTTTCTCCTTCGGTTTGTTGATCATTTGCTTAAGCTAAACGCCGAGTTCCTGCAGCTGTTTGTTTTTACTGTTCCATTGCATTTTACAAACCCCCCTTCCGCACGCCCCTGGGCCTTCCACTGCACTTTTCAACCCCCTTTCAAGTTTTGAATCACTGCAAATGCACAAATACAAAATGGCGTAGGTAAGTTCCATCTGTGAGCGAGTGTCTTAAGTATTTTTGTGCAATTTGCTATTGCCCCCCTTTTGGCCCCCTTTGCCACGCCCCTGCCCCTGCCCCTGTGAAGCGTTTCATTTTAGTTAGTGTTGAAAATCGCTTTGGATTTGCATAAATTTGCTTGCCTTCCGCCTTCCGCCTCACATTCCCTATACCCTATCATCCCCCGCCCCTGACTTGTTTCAACACTTCTCAACCCCCTTTCTTCTACGGCTTTGCATTGCAAACAGACAACAACAAAAGACGATGATGACAGCGTTTTGTGTAAAGAAAACTAAGTGGAGGGGAGGCACATTAACTTTACATCAAGGCGTCCCCGACTACATCCATCTAAAAATGCCACAAAACTTGGTCACGATAAAAGAAGTTGATTTGTAGGAGATATAACCATGAATGGGTCGTAATTTTTAATTTCAAATTAAAAAGTATACTTTTAAAGTCATAGTAAATACTAGATTCCTGTTCCTCAACTATTTAATGGGCCTTAAAGTCGGGAAAACCAAAAACTACCCCAGCATAAACATCCATTTCACACAATTATTGCATGCAACAATTCACCGCTGATTGCGAATTATGTGCCAGTTGCCATTTGCTATTCGCACATATCACAATAAAAATATTAAATACATTGTGGGTTATTCTTATTGCGGTGCGGGCAGTGTTGATTTGATTGCGTTACAGTTCATTTACCCGGGGGCCAAAACAGCAGGGGCGTTGGGAGGAGGGGGGATCCTTCCTCCAGGAGACACATGACCGACCACCGACCACCCACACCCACAATTCCGCATCCAAAATCCCCCCATCTGTGACCCTCTGCAGTTGGAGCGTAAGCCATTATGGTCTCATTTTAGAGGAGCTTTTTGGTTTCGGGTTTGCGTAGGTTGTGCAGTAAAAAAAATTGTATTTTGTTGTCTATGGATATATATAAATATTTTATATTTTTATTAGTTTTGTTGAATTCCTAAAGGTCAGTGTAAAATATTAAATTTGTATTATATTTTATAGATCCACTCTATAAGTAGGACCCAAAGATAAAATCCTTTGGTATTAAGATAAATATTTCTCTAGTACGTCTCTCTGAATTATTTCCGAATTTATGTTTTTTTTTTTAGATATTTATGTCCATTCGTTCTGGGAGATTTTGGCTACTTCCCGTTTTTTTACCACACTTTTATATATTAGTTTAGATTTAAAATTAAATACTACTATTTTATGGCCTAGACTTTTTCGCAGTGTAGGCGTTTTGGTTTTCCAAACTGATGCTGGGGCATTGGCATTCGAATTGGCAAAGCGCCAGGCCAGCGATTGAGCGAATTTCAATGCAATAAATGTGTGACGCTCAGCTGGAGGTTACCAAGACCCCCTACCCCATCTACACCCCTGGAATACGTATGTGTGTGTGTGGGTGTACTGTAATGTAATGGTAATGACCCCATAAACTGAACAACTTGTTTGTGCCCAGTGCAAAGGGTTGTTGCCATTGTGTCGCCGAATGTTTGCTGCTCCACCAGCGCCACAATCCTTGCTCCTTAAACCATCCGCAGTGGGTTTGTTCCACACACACACACACTAACACACAGATCTCGGGGTGTCCTGCAATTGTCCTTAGCGTTAAACAGTCGTCATGGCCAGCTGGCATATGTCCAAATCGCTGGCGAAATTGATATCGATGGGGATGGCGAATGGAACAGCGAATGGAGAGCCCCTTTCATGTCGCCATTTGTCGATATCGATATAGGGAAATTTGTGACTTTTCAAGTCCTATAAAGAGCTCATAAGGTCGTTAAGCTAATTGAAACTTGCCTGCTATCAAAAAAAAATTTTCTTAAAGCAATACTTCTCTTAAGACAATTAAAGTAATATTATAATTGTTATACTAATAGTTTAAAACTTAGAAAAAAGGATTAAAATTATAACCTTTTATTGAAATAAGTTTAAATTATTTGGTTGTTTCTCACATCCTAAAGAAAACTTTAGAAAAATAAAATTATTCATGTCTAAAATCCTATGAGTAATGGGTTCTTTAGGTAATTAGAAAACTATTCGGAAAACTTTCTGAAATATTCTTTAAGCTATAGATAATAATATTAAAAGGTTAATTTATTCTATGTTTTTCATATCACTCAGGAGCAGTTACAAATGAAGCTCATTAGGAAACCTTAGTTTTTATTTCTTATTTTTATTTCCCCACTGTCTCCGTTTCTTCCCATTTATCCTGTCACTCGATTCGATTCCATCGATATTTTTATTTTTAGCTCGCATTTCCCTCCATTCTTTTCCGTGGCAGGGCAATTAATGCAATAATTTTTCACACACTCGCTGGGGAAAAGGCCACTTAAGCTTGTGAGCTGCTAATGAAGCTTATTTACGTTTCCTTGGCCAGCAGCTACATTTGTATGTGTCTTGTCTGCTCACATAGATACACCCACACACACACACATATAGCCCTGATTAATGTTGTAAAAGGGGGCGGAGTTTTTTTTTGGGGCGGGCGGTAAGGAAAAAGTTTTGCCAATTCAATGCCGCGTAGGTAATAAGATTGATTTTCACATTTTCGCTTTTCACACTCACACAGCAATCACTCACACGTGTGCAGACACACACACACACACACCACCACCACTGCAGACTAAAACTTGATTAATTATAGCCATTGATTTGCTTTCCACGGCTTCAACTCTCGCCATGGCCTTTTCATTAATTTCCGCGTCGAGTTGCCGCCTGGCTTCTTCTTCATCGGCCGTTGATGATGATCCGCCAGGTTTTTCCACCCCACCCCCACCCATCCGCACAGAAAAAACCTCCCGAAAATCCACCCTTTTGTCCATCGTTAGGGGAGCCAGTCGTATCTCCACCCGCCACCCTCCTTCCTTTTTGCTCTTGTGGAAATTTATTAATTACGTTTTTGGTCTTATCAAATTACGCTCTGCTAATGCACTCAAATTTATACCTTCCGTGCTTTTTTGAGCTTTTGCTTTTACGGGGGAAGCTCAATTGGTACACTGCGGGAAAAGGCAGAAATAATATTCCAGTTTTGAAATATAAACTAATTTTTAAATTATTAAAGGAAATAAATGTAATTCATTCAAGAGTCATTTACAACAAAATGTAAAAATAATTAAAATATAAATTTAAACTTAATTATTTTAGTTTATAAATGATGTTTCCAAATGATAGATCTTTCATAAGTTATGATTCTAAAATATTTTTTCTCCCTGACTTTTCCCAATTTTTCTTCGCTTTTCCTGCCTTTTCCCCAAAATTTATTGGCGGCCATTTTGTTTTGTGTTTTTCCTCAGCTACCTGGGTTTGTGTGTGTGTGTGTGTGAGTGGGTCCTAATTTGTCCTCGTTCGAATTGTAACGGAAATTGGTTTCGCTCTTTTCCTCCTTCCCCTGCCCCGCCCACTTTTCCAGCCGCCCCTTCCGAAAACCCTTGGCCATAATGGCCAATTACAACAACAATTGCTTGTTCCTACGCAGCTTGTTCATTGTTCAAGTTTTGATGCCATTTCCGTGGCTGTGTTGTTGCTGTCATTATTATTATTGTATTTGTATTTGTATTTGTATTTGTACTTGCTGTGGTTGTGTTTTGCAATATGTCGAAATTCAACTTCCGGTTCTCCGTATTTTCCCTCTCTATGTTTTTTCCTCTTGTTATATACTCTCCACATCTAGCAGTTAACATTTTCTATTTTTTGTTCCCTTCGCCGCTTGTTAACACAATAACATGGCCAAGGAAAAGCTGAAGAAGTGCGAGTTGAAGAAAATTTGCCAAAGGAAATGTTCCATTTTCCATGCTCTCGCTAGTGTGTGTGTGTGCGTTTGCAATACAAAATCAAATTGCCCGGCCCACCCTCACATAGGGAAACACACAACAACGAGGGAAGATGACAAATTTGCTGTATCAGATGACAGTTGTTGGGGCCCCGACTGTCAGAAGACTGGAAAAGCAATATGTTTGGGGGGTCTACGAGTGCAGGAATCCCTGGAAGGCCCCCGGAAAATGCTCAAAAATGCCAACCAAGTATTGTGAATTTCCTGAATGCCTATTTACTGCGAAACAAAAGTATAAATAATACAAATAAATATTATTGCTGTCTGTAGTTTGTCCCTAGAAAACGAAAAACTTTAACAATCTCTTCAAGTGATCGTTTTTAGATTTTCCTATGATTCTTATATTACCTTAGTTATATTAGTTTAAAATTTGTCTAATATTATTTTAGTTTATTTTATTTAAACCACTAATCATATCAATTTAATTTCTTTTTCTTTATATTTATGTCAATCTCTAATTAAAAATGTTGAAAATAAAAACAAAAATATTCATAATTTAATTATGGAAGTAATTTTAAGTCAAATTACACATACAAAAAAATGTCAATAAGATGTTGTGCATTAGGTAATATAATGATATGCCTGCTTCTTATTCCATCTATTCACTTGTTAAAATAAAATCCTCTTTGAAAGATTTCACATTTTCCAACCGAAATAACTTCTCATAGGAAATATACTTAAAATCCAGGACTCACCTTGATCGGCCACATTGATGACGCCGTCCTGGGCCACCGCGATGGCGGAAATGGCCTGGAAGCGGGCGTTCGAGGAGAGCAGCGTCTCCGCATTGCTCAGCGTTCCGTCGTCGTTCAGGGTGGCCGCCCCACCGCCGATGCCCGAGGCCGTGGTCTTGGCGCCCAGCAGGACGGTGGTGGTGGTGGTCGGTCCGGTGGACATCAGGCCGCCGCTGCCCACGATGCTGGCCAGGGTGCCGCCGCCGCCGTTGCCGCCGCCGGTTCCGGAGCCGGAGCTCGAGCCAGATCCGGTGGACAGGGCGATGCCGCCCGCACAGATGCAGGCACCACCGCTGCCGTTTGAGCCGCCATTGCCACCATTCGAGCCACCGGCGCCTCCTCCTGAGCCGCCGCCCGAGGTCGCCGACGAACCGTTGCCATTTCCGCTTCCGTTTCCGCCCGACGGGGTGGTGGGCGTGGTGCCGCCATTCGGACGCGTGGGGTTGACGGTCGTCGAGTAGGCGCCGCCGCTGGCCCCGCCCACTCCCGACGAGGCAGCGCTGCCGTTGCTGCCGCCTCCAATCGCACAGTCGCATGTCTGGGATCTGTGGGAAAAATATGGGAGCATTAAAGTAGGAAGGCCAATTACTTCAAGACCTTTATTTATCTATTTCCCACTTGAAACTAACGCCAAAATAAGTTGCAATTAAATTTAGAAGTTATTAGCAAACCAAAATTTGATTTTCCTAAATATAATATTCACAGGTTGGTCAAATAAATGAACTAAACTCAAAAGAGTGATTCTAATGGCTCTTTCTGACCAACTTCCATATCATGTTTCATTGGGTTGCGGTTCAAAGGGTTGCAACCCCCTCTCCTTACTCTTTTCCTATCTCTGGCCGCACCCTTTCTCCGGGCTTTCTCCAGGATTTCCCTCGTCCTTTGGCTGGCTGCTCGGGACGCATATTTATGATGACATTGTTTGTTCGATAAACAGTCTAAAGTAAAGCGAGCTCCGGGCGCCGCTTATCGCTGCCACGCCCACGCAACAGACACGGACACAGACCGCCCCCTTCTACCTTCCGCCCTCCACCTTAACCCTTAACCGTCCTGAGCCCTTAACCCCTTGTGCCACCTCTCCAAAGATATGGTTTTGCACAAAAGACGCCGGGGGAAGAAAAAATAAAAAAGGAAAGAGTGAAAAGTTGATTTATAGTTTCTGTCTGTGGCGCGACGGCCGCTAATTACTTTGCCACGTCTGCCGGCCACGCCCACTTCAATCGTCCGCCCCCCTGACAACCCCCAGCCACCTGACGCCATTCACATGACCCCCAGTCCAAAGGCGACCCCGAATATTCGGTGGGTTTTTATACCCATTGCATTACTCCTCGAACATTGGAGTTCAAATGAATTTTTGCTTTTATTTCGGAATATAAAATCGGAAAGTTTTAGTGCAATTTACATTTTCCAACACTGAATAATGAGAATCTTTACCATACTGCTTATAGTACTATATTTTTAGTTTTAAGCATCTACAGTTTTAATTAAAAATTTGATTTCCTTCCAATTGAAGTTCGTACTCCTATTTAGCTGACCAACACTGGCATGCCTTACACCGCACTGTGCAACACTGAACACTGAACGGCTTGGCAACATGGCAAAAATTATTCCATTTGCGTCAGGAATTTAAGTTCATTGACTGCTGCTTCCGTTTCCGTTTTCCAACCCCGCTTTAATCAATGCACAAAATGCAAATGGCTTTAGTGCCTCTGGAACACACAAGCACATATTTATACACATGTATGGTTGTACAGAAGTGTGTGTGCGTGTACTGGGGCAATGAAAAATCAGACAATGAAATTCCCCAATGTGAGAATTCCAATTAATTTCTGGTCACCGTTTTCGATGCCTTCAAAATGGGTTAATAAAGTCAAATAAAGTTAACATGGCTCTGGGATGGAAAAAGAGAAGGATATATATGTGGGAAAAGAGGGAGAGAGAGATGGCTATACTCTGGGGGGTATTGCCTAGTTGGCCTGACATTTATGGCCGTTTTGGTGCATTGGCAATTTTGTGCTGCTCTTGCTGAATTTTTATTATTTATGCCCCACTCTACAGTGGAGTAGTATCCTTTCCCCCTCTCCCTCTCTCTTTCCCCCACTCTCCTGCCCTCTCTTTCTCGTCCTGTGCGTTTCGTCCCGTGTGTCGTTTGGTAGACATTTTGAAAAATTGGCTGATATCGTTCGGCAATATGCAAATAGCCCGGAGCTCACTTAATTGGGTCAAGTATGCGCATAAACAAGTCCGAGTGGAGTCAATCTGCCCCCCATTTTCCAACCCCCCCTCGTAGTTTTCCCAACAATTTTCCCCACCCATCCATTTTCGTTCCATTCGGTTTTTGGCCAGCGGCCTGCTGACCAAATTCCCTGTTATGTTGACCCAGTAGCCAGTCAATATTTGAGGGCATAAAACAACTAAGAATGCAATAGTCGAGTATTCCAACTACATATACGTACGTATAAAGGGGGCTACGCTATGCCAACTACTGGGAATTATTTATTTTCTGTGCACTTTGATAACTCGGTGCTCGGTGAAGACCAAATATGGCACAGCCACAATGTCAGCGAAAAGGGAGCCCTTTGATTTATGCCATACCATTCCGAATAGGCCCCCTCAAACTCTGCGATATATTGGTTATTAAACTTTGGCGCAACACTCATATTTTAGAATCGGGATAAACACTAATGGGAAGTAATTGATGATTCTTCTGGCGGTTAAATACACAGGGAACCACTAACATAAATTAATGACTTATACGGGATATTCCATATTTTTAAATTTTCCCCTAAAATAACTAATTTAAATGCAACTTTATTTTTATGATCCCCTATAAACTCTATATACCAATTTTGATATTCCGAACTCAAACAGATCCGGAGATCCAAGGGCTTGTTCTCATTAACGGACAAACGGACAAGCTACTCACCCCGTGCCCTCCTGTTTGCCGGCAAAGTATCGCATATTTCCGGCCGTGTCCACCACGCGTATGGAGTTGACCCTCCTCGAATCGCTGTCCGCAATGTAGAGATTGCCGAACGGCGAGAAGGCCATGGCCAGAACGGTGCCCAGCACGTTGTCCGCTCCCGTCTTGTTGACCCGGCCATCCTGCCCGCCGTTGCTGCAGTGCAGCGGTGTGCCGGCCACCACGCGGATCTTCATGTCCGAGGTGAGCCGCAGCACCAGACGATCGTCGATGAAGTGCAGCGAACCGTCCAGCGGACTCAGCGCCAGGCCAGTGGGCCACTGCAGCTGCGCCTGATTGGCCATCAGGGTGCCGCTGCACGGAGCCGGACTCCAGTGATTGTGATGGCCATGATGGCCGATCAGCGTGTGAATGATGCCCTTGGGGTCGACGGCTCGGATGTTGGTGCCGTCCGCGATGTACATGGTCCTATCGGCCGCGATGGCCAGGCCCTTGGGATGCGAGAGGCGGGCCAGCAGGGCCGGTCCGCCGTCGCCGCAGTTGCCCTCGTCGCCGGGAATGCAGCGCTGGCCGCTGCCCACCACGGGATCACTGTTGATGCTCGGATCCTTGACCTTCTCCAGCCGCAGCAGCCGCAGTATCTGGTGGCGCTCCGGGTCCGAGATGTACAGATGCCCGTCGGCCGGCGAGACGGCCAGGTAGTACTGATACGACACCTGGGTGGCGCTCAGCTGCAGAATGGTGAACACCTTGCCGTCGGGCGTGATGCGGCGCACCAGATTGAAGTCGCCCACGTAGAGGCTGCCGTCGGGTCCGGTGGCCAAAGCGATGGGCGTCAGCAGCTTGGCGTCCTTGGCCACCCCGTTGCAGTAGTCCGGACAGGTGAGAGGTCGCTGCAGGCCGGTGCCCATCACCACCTTGACGGTGCGCGGATACTCCTTCATGTGCAGCGTGCTGCCGTCGCCCTTCTGCAGGATGCCCTCGTGGAAGTTGTAGTGGTGATGGATGTCCAGGCCCCAGCCCCCGATGTCCGAGATGTCCACGTCGTAGCCCTGCAGCTTGGCCGTCTGGGCGATCCAAACGGGCGACTGGCACGTGCTGTGCTGGTAGCCCACCGAAATCCGGGCCACGGTCACGCCGTACACCTTCTGGCGGTAGACGTTCCGCTTGTTCCACGCAAACGTGTGCACCAGACTGGGGTCCGCCTCGTACGTCTTCACGTGCAGCGCTCCCTCGATCTCCACGCCCACGTGCACGTGCGTCAGGGTGGGCGGAATCGTTTCGGCGGTCAGGCGCATGCGCACGATGCTCAGGTAGCCACTGGCCTGCGAGGACTGGTAGGTCAGGTGGAGGTCCGAGCCGGGGATCTGGATGGATTCTTGGACGATCTGCGGGGGAATATCAAAAACACTGGATTAGCAAGCTTCGAAATTAGGCTATCTGCAGGTTATGTTAACCCAAAGTACTGGTTAAAGGATATAACCCAAGTTTTTCTAGGATATTGTATTCAAATTGACTCAAACCTTAGTGCAATAAATGTTTTAACTACCTTTCTCAAGTAATTTTCATATGATTAGCTGTTTGGCTGTAACTAACCTGAGGTTAAGTTAACCTAAAGGGTATTTTTAAAGCATTTGTTTTGGAAATTAAAAGTTAACGATTTGCTAATCTATAGACTAATCTTAAGCTTTACACTCGCTTATCAACTTTTATCAAAAACACGGGGTTAGCTTGCTTGGAAACTATATATTACCCCCAATTAAGGTTATCTGCAGGTAAAGTTAAGGTTAAGGGATATGAACCAAGTTGCTCTAGGATATTGAATTCAAGTTGACTCAAAGCCTTATGTTACAAATGGCTTAACTACCTTTCTCAAGTAATTTTGATACGATTAGCTGTTTAGCGTAACTAACCTGAGGTTAAGTTAACCTAAAGAGTATTTTTAAAGCATTAGAAGTTAATGATTTGCTAATCTATCGAATAATCTTAAGCTTTACACTTGTTTATCAACTTTTATGTTTTTCCCCTATTTTTTTTTTGAGTCCTAGCAACTTTATCATCGCCCCTAGGTGCCAGTTAACCCGGTAAAACTTTAACTGGACCTGGGAAAAATACCTCTTAGCGGTAACTCTGGCCCCCGGGGAAAGCGAAGGTGGTAGCGAAAAGGCACGAGTAATGGGGAAAAAGACAGCGAGTGTCTGCTGGTGACCGCAGCTGGACAGGTTCGAGTGCTGCAATTAAACGCATTGCGGCCAGACCTTCGAGCTGGGTTTTCCCGCTCCCTGGCTGAATTAATGTCTACCTCGCTGGCCCTTTCACCCCACTCCTCCACCCTCCCCTCTTCGCGGGCAGATGCAAAGTTATAATGTCATTAAGGCAAACTTTAAATTAATTAAAACTGCGCTGCGTCCAGCAGCTGCTGCCAGGACTGCTAATTAGGAATGGCATTAGGGACGGGGGCAAATGGTGTAGCAAATGGCACACGGCAAATGAGGAGGAGCCCCCACCCACCTGAGTCTCGGCAAAGATGACCCTTTTGCCGGGCATGGCGCCCACTCCGTTCGGCATCCAGGTGCTGATCAGCTGGGGCCTCAGCTTCTCGTGATCGTGGTCCATGCACACCTTGCTGGCATCGTTGGCCTCGTCGGCCGTGTGGTAGTGGATCGAGTTGAGGAAGGTCAGGGCGGGATTCAGTGGAGCCACCCTGAAGAAGAGGAAAAGGGGGAAAAATATATTAGTAAGAAAAATGTATGAATTATGTAAATTTATAATAAACATCATGAAATATTTACAATAGTTTCAGTGAATATTTTACACAAGTAACCCATCGCACATTTGGTATAAAAAATATTGTTGCATGCTTTTAGACACCTTATAAAATAAAATAAGTTGAATCTTCCTATGAAAAAGCTTTAGCAATTTGTAAATTATAATTTAAATAGTTTTCAATTTTTTAAACTATAATATGTGATATAAAAATGATGGCACGACCACAGATACTTCTAAAGTTGTAAAATTACTACCTCAAGTCTCTAAAAGTCTGCAACGATATATTTAGTACGTGTGAAATGGAAAAGTATCACTATAATAAAATGCTCAAGTCATTTTCCAAGAACATTTCAAGTGTGTTAAATCTGATTTAAGATTATATTAAAATTGCCAACTAGCTGCAAGGCAGTTTAGGTGTGTAAGACTAAGCGAAACTCACTTGATATTCCTGCTGGTCGTCTCGTCGTCGTCGCTCAGCTGCATTTGCACCGGCGGAAGCACCACGATCCGGTTCCAGGGCACAAAGACGGTGCGGGTCAGAGGTCGGAAGGGGGAGCGCTGGAACTGCAAGGTCACCGCCCCGCCGCCATTCACCAGCACATCGAACCTGAAAATGAAAATGTAAGAGTAGAGGGCGTGAGAAATATGAAATGGAATACGAAATTAGTGCAAAAGTTGCTGGGCAAACATGCAAATTAATATTTTAATGAACTTGAAGGGATCGCCCCTCGTTCATCCCCCTGATTTCCCCCAACCACCCCTGCAACCTAATGCCACCAAGGTGGATCCCCAGATAATACCTCAATTGTTTGTGGGAAATTGAAAAACTTTAGATGCCGACTTGGTGGGTGGATGGTGCAGGAGGTATGGGAGCTATGGAGCATAAGTTAAGATTCCCAGCCCCCTTGTCATGCGTTAGCCGCATTAAATATAATGATGGCGATTGCGAGCCGCCGCCATTATTACAAGAGAAAATTCGCATTGCAGCTACGGAAAAGTTGCACAAACTTCTGCCAAGAAGACGAAGATGTTGGAAAACAAAGGGCCAAAACAACAACAGAGTGGAGTGGGGAAAATGGAAAGGAAAATGAAAATGCAGGAGCAGGAGCGAGAAAAGCTCAAGGTGGAGGCACAAAGCCGAGTCGCGTTGGAAACTCAAGAAATGGCGAAAACTTTTGCTTTTGAAATATTTAATTAATGCGATTTTTAATTGTATTTTGTGCGTGCGACAAGGATAGCAGATAGTGGATAAAGTGAGTTAGAGATGGTATGTTTCTGCAGCTGGAAAATGCCCTGGCCATTTTCCCCGAATCAAATGACAAAACATTCAATTGAATTGCCTCGTAAACAAAGCGACCAAAGCTGCCCATAAACATGTCCATAAACAAGGACATGCATTTCATTAAAAATAAAGTGGTAAAAAATAAGGGAAAAACTAAAAATACATATAAGGGAATTTGTGAAATTTGTTACAATTTTTGCTAATTTAATTTTACTGTTTTACTGTTTTGCCGTTGTTGTGCTGTGGCTGCTTTAATGGCATGCATAAAGTAGTTCCACACACAGTCGAGGTCAAAATAATAGTATCAAAATTAACAAGAAAGGAAGCTAGCTTCGGCCAGCCGAATCTTAAATACCCTTGCAGATCATTCCTATTAATTAACAAATCGCAAAAATGTTCAATTAATTTCATTAATCTCATTAATTTTCCGATCGTTCCTATGGCAGCTATATGATGTAGTCGTCCGATTTTGATCAAATTAAAATTGAAATTCGGAAATATTTAAAAAGAGTCATATCCTAGAGTAGAAGATAATACAATAAAAACGAAAGAAGCTAGAATTTATTTCCTATTACTTTTCCATTAATTTCCCGATCGTTCCTATGGCAGCTATATGATATAGTAGTCCGATTTTTTAAATAATTAATTCGAAACTCAGAAATATTTAAAAAATAACATCCCCAAAAGTAGAAGGTAATATTTCAAAAAACACCGAAGCTAGAATTTTTTTAACGTTTTCTTTTCCGATCCTTCCTATGGGAGCTATAAGATATAGTTGTCCGATCCGGTCGGTTCCGACATATATACTACCTGCAATTGAAAGAAGACTTTTGGGAAAGTTTCATCCAGATAGCTCAAAAACTGAGAGACTAGTTTGCTTAGAAACAGACAGACGGACAGACGGTCAGACGGACAGACGGACAGACGGACAGACGGACATGGCTAGATCGACTCGTCTAGTGATGCTGATCAAGAATATATATACTTTATGGGGTCGGAAACGTCTCCTTCACTGCGTTGCAAACTTCTGACTGAAATCATAATACCCTCTGCAAGGGTATAAAAATATTAAACTTGTAGCAAATCAGTTTAAAAAAGTGATTTAATTAAATACTGAGCAACAAAATAAGATACAAAATTTAAAATGACAATTTAGTTTAGTGTCAAGTACGAACATTAAGAATATTTATAAATTATCCGTTTTTAAGTTAATTACTATTACCAATTTTTATTTAGCATTTTTAATTTTAATTTTTGTTTTAATGCTCTCCTATTATTTTGCCCCCAGCTGTACAAAGCTATAGTCTGCCGTGGCATTGCATTCATTCATTTGTAATTGAATTGGATTTTATGAGCATGACCAGAGCGAAAAGCCAGAGAAATGCGAGGAGTGGCGAGTTCAGTTCGGTGGGTGGTTTTCGGGATGGTCCTGGGAATGGTTCGGTGGGCGTAGGGCATTTAGCGGAGGCAACTACCCGAAAACATATATCCTCCACACATACAGACATATGTATGTGCGAGGAGAGGAAAACGGGAATAGGAGGTTCGCATCTCTAATAATACTTATGCAATAAAAAATGCCAACAATAATCCCCTGCAGCACAATATAATGACTTTTATTACCTTTATTACTATGACAACAACAACAAGCAACAATGCATGTCAGCCGGCGAAAGCAACAACCACAGAAAAAAGTAAAAAGAAAATACACAAAAAAAAGCGGGGAAAATAAAAAAAATTAAGCAGGACAACAAATGGCGCGCCAGCGAAAAGAGCAACAAGAAAAGCCGGTCCAGGGGAAAATGCGGAAAATGCGAGTGTGTGGGGTAGCTAATAAAAGCATAGAATTGAAATAAACATTATAAATACAAAACCATAAAATCCTGCAACACAACCGAGAAGAACCGGCAACAAGAATCTGAGGCCAAAAGTAGAAGGATACACATATGTGGAAAATGGTGGGTGGGGGTGGAAAATGAGAGGGTACAGGGTTGGTATGGGATGGTAACCCGCTAACAACACACTGTTGCTTATAGGGCCGCAAAACATGGAACGGCAACAACAACAGTAACTTCAGCTGCAAAGGGCACAACATAAACCAAAATGAGTACAAGAAAATAACTCCTATTTAAGTACACCGAAAAAAGGGATATAGCAGGAATTAAAATATGCTATTGTCATTAAAATATCATATTTTGAGTTGTAAAATATATTTATAAAATCACTTCATTTTTGGTTCTTATAATAAATGCATTTAATCCGTTGTTTTAATCTCAAGATATGATATTTTAAATTAATAAAAACATTAAAATTAAATAATAAAATATTAAATAAATACAAACATAATTCCATCATTAAAAACCCGTAGAATGAATGTAAATTACATACAAACTTCTCTCCCTGTGGCCTTAAAACCCGAATTAAGCACCAAGCGGATCAATAACGGCCGGCGGGAAAGCCAGTTAAAAGTGAGCGCAAAAGCGTCACTAAATTGCTGGCCAGCAGTGTACATAAGAAGCCAAAAATAATGCGAACATAAACAGGAATTATTGCGGGCTAGCACACACAATCAGAGTGGCAGGAGCATTAGCTGCAGGAATAAGGAGGCCAGCAGGGGCATAAAAAATAACAAGGACAACTTTAAAGTCCCTCAAAAGCGGGGAAAAAAAGGATCAAAAAATAAATAACAGCAAAAATTGTCATAATAAAAATACATAAATAAGGACTGAGGAATTTGTGCCGGGACCTTTTTTTCCAGCTAGCAGCAAGTTGTTGCAACGGCAGCAACATGCAACATATCGCTTACTTGGCCATTGGCCTAATGAGAAATTATGGCCACAGTCGCACAGTCACACAAATCGCACAAAAATCTCCTTTTCTGGCCCACAAAGATATGCTATACTTTTAGTACACCTGGATATTTGTCTAGGCTAATGTGTGAGTGTGTGGGAGATTGAAATAAACAAGGCGACAGTGTCTGTGTGTGTGTCTGTGGAAAGTAAACACAAATAATCATCAGACAGTCGGAGTTTTGTCTGTCTGCTGCACAGATTTTGTTTGTATTCCTCCGCTTGGCCATAATAAAATCAGCCAGAGACTCGGGTGCGAAATGTTTATTTAAATTGGCCAACACACACACACTCGCACACATGTGGAGAAAAGAAAATGGCAAAACAACAAGGACAGCAAACAATGTTGCTGATGGCAGCAAACGGAAATCCTTTTTACAGAAGAAGGAAAAACAACTGCAAAAATATTTATATTAGATATATTGGATTGCCAAGCGTCTCCCTCTCTCTCTCTCTCCTTCTGTTTTTCGCTCTGAATTTTTGCCATCCTTTTACAGTTGAGAAAATATTCTGTCCTTGCATCTTTGATGGGCTCAATTAGAGCAAAAGTTCTCCGAGCATTTGTGCTTAAAAAGCAATCCGAATGAAATGTCAAATAATTGAAACTAATGTCCCTTCTTTTGGCCCGCCTTCTCACCGAGAGACACTGAACCATTGAGCCACTCCTGCGGCTTCTAGCCAATTGTGGCCAGTCTGCTCTAATTATGCTAACCACTTGTGTAAACTTAAGGACAGGACAGGCGGACGGACAAACGGACAAACGGACAGAGGGCCCCGAAGAAGTTGGCCGCACATCAAAGCGAAAGATTTAATTAAAAATTTGATAACTTGCCCTCGCTGGAGAATCTTCACCTTCTATATATTTTTTTTCTTCTCTTTTTTTGCTTCTGGCCATCGGCGGATTCCATCAGCAGAATTTAATCAACGAAAAAAGTTACCCCGCGATGGAGCAACTCATCCATACGTAAGTAATTTGCATTTACCGAACACGTCGTGCACACACGAGTACAGTGAAGCATCGAAAGAGGGGAATAATTCAAAGCATATAACATCTTTCGCTTAATAAACTTTAGTTTGAAATATTTTTGCATAGAAGAAAATATTTTAGGAAGTAGGTAATATTATATAAAAATATTTTAGAAAATAATAAAGTATTTAAAATCTAAAAAAAATAATAAACACAATACTTTAAAAATATCGAAGTTAAATAAGAATTATTTTTTAGGATTTTTAGGATTTTACTAGACATTGTAATAAATACTGATAATAGTATTAATTTCCCAAATTTAATATATTAGTTTTACCTTAGAAATAACTATAGGTAAATGGAATAGTACTCACCATCCTCCTTGACGAGTTAGGGTGAATCCAAACCGGGAATCGCGATCCACGGATACTCGGATGCCGACGATGCCCAGTCCTTGGGGAGTGATCACCTGACCTCGCATCACCGAAACGCGACTATGAGGTTTTCCAATCCAAAGATTCCATGTTGAAGTGGGTTGTGGGTTTTTTTTTGGTAATTGGGGTTATTGCAAAAGACAAAAATATATCTGTTAGTTACTTGGCAATATTTGCGTTCGAGTTTTGGCTTTTCTTTAATTATTTTTTTTGGTTTCTTGTTTGTTTTTTTCTTTGTCGATTCTTTTCTTTTCTGTTTGCTTTCTAATTTAGTTTTGTGGTTGAAATCATACGTTTTGAAAAGGTGAAGAAAACATTGAGCAATTGTCTGTATTGATGGAATGGGAGAACTGAAAAGCGACTCGATTGTTTTCTCAGCACTCAGGCTCTAAGGACAAACCGAAAAAAGTTATGCAATAATTTGAGGAAATATTTATATAGATATATATGTATATATATATAATATAGCTATGTTTCGTATGCATATGTATGGGTATTTGTATTTGTATTTAACTAGGAGTGTATATGTATAAGGAGACAGAGACAGAGAGAGAGAGAGAGACGGAAAGAGCGAGCGAGCGAGACGGAGAATGAGATGGGATGAGTTTCTGAGAGTTTTGTCGCCAGGAATGCGTTTTCTACTTTGTATCTGTATCTTTGTATCTTTTGTATGTTTGTATCTTTGTATCTGCAACTGCAGTGTATTTGTGTGTGGGTTTCTGGGGAATTCTTTGCGGGACAATCTCAAAGTGTTTTCCTGGCTTTGGGTAATTCAATTATTGGAACTGGGTGTGAGTGTGGATGTGTATCTCCGAGTGTGTGGAATGAATCGAATGAATGTCCGACAATGAGCTACGGAAAAAAGAGCAGGGGAAGAGTAGGAAAATGGGGCGGCATTTCCCCAGTTCGTACTCTTTTCCCGGGGTGCAAGTGCAAATGGCATTTGGCACGCAGCTTGGGGGGGTTTGAATGTAAGGGGGAAATGCGGGGCGTGGGGGATATTCAAGTCCCGACTTTGGAATGCCAATATATATCGAATCCTCCAACATTTCTCAGCGAGTTCATCAGAATTTCAAGTTGGTTTCGGTATTAAATTGAAGCTGCGACCAAACGTTGGGAAGTGGGGAAGGGGGGTTGGTGCAACGATTGATGGTTTATCGATTGGTGGGTGAGTGTTATCGAAGGCATTCGGCATTAGTTTTTCCTCTGGAGAGTTGAGCGTGAAAAGGAATTAAAATTAATCAACATTGTTGCGGAAACATGTGAAAAACTTATATATCGATAGTTCTTACAAAATATCGATTGGTCAATCCGATAAATGATACCCCTTAAATTGGTAAAAATTGGATTCAGCGTAGTAACTAGCATTTGTTGTAAACCAGTTCAAATTTCGATTAATGCTAAGCCACAAGTAATGACAATCGCCTGTCGATAACTCTCCCCACCGATTTCGGCACCACCAAACGATCGGTAAACGTATTCAAAATGCATGCAATAATCAACAATTATTATTTTGGAAAAAAACTATTTTAAAATTCATTTCGATATATATCGCAATTGCTGCGATTCTCAGCGATATTCGATAGATGCGGCTAACGGCTAACAAGGCCAAAACGATCAACTTAAAATCAATGAAAGTGAAACCAACAACTGAAAAGCACAAAGCTAGTGAAAAGAACAGAAAAAACCGGAGCATTTGACCCGATAACGAAAATCGATTGTCTTTCGGTATGGAAATGCGATACTTTCCACGGGTCGAAATGCAGGCCGAGCCAGTTGCCCTTGCAGTGTCCTCTGGCAGTGTCGTTTAACCCCCCTGAAAAAGCCCGCTCACATCTATCGATGAGGGGGACGCAGCTGTGCGACCCAAAATCATTTTCATTTCCATTTACATTTCCATTTTCATTTAATGAGAAGAAACTATGGCAACCCGCTTTCTTTGTCACTTTCTCCGCGGCAGGCAGGCGGGGCTGCACCGATATCCGATTTCAAGTTTGCCAATTTATTATGACAAAAGGGCACACAAAATATTCTTTATATTTCCAATAAACGGCAAACAGCAGGGCTCCCCTGTTTGGTGTATTTTTCGTATATATGTATATATAGAAATTCTTCTGGGCAGGTTCTTCGAAGCGCCAGACGCTCCTTGAAACAAAATGCCGCAGTGGGGCTTAAAAGGCAGGGGCGTTCGACAAAAAGAGGGGTGGGATTTTTCTACAATCTTTTTTTTTTTTTTGGTAAAGTTACCAAGGATATCGGAAACGAGCGCAATTGTTTGCACTAATTACTGCAGAGTTGGAGGTTTTCACCAGCGGGGGTTGGGGTTTTCCGGGGGCGTTCTGTCCCCCGTCGTCAGGTGCAGCCTCTGCTCTCAGCCCCCCTTTGGCACTCCGTTTCCAGAGTCCGAGGACTGCAGTTGGCCTCTTTTAACTTTTGTGCCAGCGCAAGTTCTCGAAAACATTTTCAAGTTTTCAAGTGTTGCAATTTCCCAACCCCCCTTGAAGCCCCGCCCCTGCCACCACCCCCTTTTTACTGTTGTTCCGCCCTCTCATCTTTTTGCACAACCTCCCCTGCCTTTTTTTTCTTCTCCTAACAGACATAAACACATAATGTACAGTATTTGGGTCAGAGTTTTATGTGCCCAGTTGCATTTTTATTAGGAGAGTGCAGGGGCGGCGGGTTGAAGGGGGGCCAAAGGTCGCCCGGGAGTGGGCGCTGGCTAAGGCTAAGGCCCATTGGAATTCTTGGAGAGCAGCGCACTTCTTCACTGACTTCTAATTGCAATTGACCAAAGTCGGACGAGGTTTCGTGTTCAAAAGTCATGCCCAACTAGCTATGTTTTTTCTTCGAGTGTGTGTGTGTGCCCCCCTCTCAAAAGGCGGGCATTTTGCCCACAATTTCATTTTTCCTGCCTTTCCAATTCGATGCAATGAAGCAACATTTTAGTTGAAATCAAACCGAAAAGCAAATTGCATGGCTATAAGTATTTTTTTTATACCAAATGTGTGTGTTAGTTGTTCACATACATATATAAATATATATTCCTTTTTCATTGAAGTGGTGAGTGCCATTGATTTTTATTTCGCATTTGATTCGTTTCGTTTCATTTATTATTTATTTGATTTATTTGCACTGCAGCCAAGCAGCCAAGAAGAAGGAACCTTTTTCGTCGTCGGCTGGCCAGGTAAATCACTCATACGCCACCGACACTTGAATGTCTTCAGCACATTTCACTTTGTTTGCCTGATTCGCCTGAGTCTCGCTGCCATTGAATTCAATTCGGCTTGATTTGGTTATGAGAACAGTTTTCACTTTGATTTTGTTGCCATCGAAATGGAAATGCTGCACTTAGTAGAGGCGAGGCGAAAGGGGAGAGGAAAAGTCGCCTCAAGGACCCACATTACGTATACGCAACGTTTGCCACAAAAAGAAAAGAATGTTGGTGCGAGAAATGGTTCAGTGAGTTTCCAAGTGTTTGGAGTGGTTATTTCTTTGTGTTTCCCTTATTTGGAATTTATATAGCTATAATTAAGAAATATTTAGGACAGACAACCACTTAAAACCAGTGATTACTTATTTAATAATGGATTAGATCTTTATTACAATATAAAAAACACATATTTATTTTATATCAATAGTTAGAGCCTAATAAATATTAAATAAATTAATGTTGGGGAAAAAATTCACTTTATATTTATATTCAATTATAAAGTAATATTCAAGAATTTAAACTCCAACACATTCATTTAATTTTACTGAGTAAATTATTTAAAATACTAAATTAATTATTTTTTATTCCCGAAACGAAAATTGTAGTACAATTTCCCCTTTTGTAACAATTTTAGTGCCATACATTTTTAAAGTCTCACAGTGAATCAGCGAAATTGATGACATGTTCTCGACCTCGCTTTCCTTTCATTCCTTTCAATCAGCTAAGCGCAATCATTATTATCTGTGAAGGGCACTCAAAATTATGAGGCAATAAAGGCATTTGGCCTCGCCAGACTGAAAGAGATCGGGATATATATATATCTTTATCTCTATATATATGCTTATAATAAAGCCAAGAAAGAGGCAAAAGCAATCTCGTCCGATGAAGTGAAAGCAATGCCACAAAAATGTTCTAATCTCAAAAGATGCGCGCCCTTTGCACCCACTTTCCACTGCTTTCTCTGCACATTTTCCCAATTTTCCGCCCATCGCCATCCACCACCCACCGACTAATCGCCCTTGCAGCGAATGAGCAACAAAGGGAGGCGTGGCATCCTAGAGAGCCAGGACCAAAAAGGACCAAAAACCAGGAGCCGGCATTGTCGCCACTGCACCTTTTGTGTCAAAAGTGCACTTCCATTATTAGCGCATTGTGTGGGCGCGAGGGGTGGAAAATGTGAGGGGGTGGGGGGTGGAAAACCCCTGGAAAATATGAGAAGCCCGCGCATAAAGGAAGTGCATTTAATTTCTTTTCTTTTTGCTACTTTTTTCTCCATTTTTGTTGGTAGGGGAAAGGGAGTTCCTGCCAGACAGGCTAGATTTTCACAGGGGCGGTGGCTAGGGGCTATGGGGTGGGTGGATTTTTGTGGCCATTCATAAAGCGGCTGGCTGCCATTCATTTGCACCACCACCCACCCACCTTTTGCTTACTTGGCTTACCACGGCACACAAAGTGGCGACGGCAGCAGCAGCAGCGTCGTCTTGCCATCATAAAAATTGAGCACGACTTAGTTGACTTTTGTGCATACAAAAGGACACCCCAACCCCAACCCCTACACACACACACACACACTCGCACACACCGAGAGAAAAGGGATATAATTTTAATTTGGCTTTATTTTCATGACGCCCACGAGGATGCAGCTTCAGCAGCTTCAAAAGGAAGCTGGCAAGAAAAACAAAGCGAGGACTGCAGGCGATTCGCTAGGGTGGCTAGGGTGGCCCACTCCGCTTTATGTTCATTTAGCCTGAAACAGTTTTTGAAACATTTTTCAGGCGAAAACCCTGGGCCACACTTTTCTTTTACGCTTTTGTAACCACGATAAATGTGCTTTATGTAGCGAGATGCC